CCCTAACCTACAACCTTAATGCTCGATCTCCATAATTCCCTGTTTAGGGCCATGTCCTCAGTAACCCTAAGTCGCGCCATATCCTGCCTGGTCACCTCTCCCCAATACTTCTTAGGTCTCCCTCTACCTCTCCTCGTACCCACCACCGCCAGTGNTTAATACCCCTATAGTTGTTACAGATCTGGATATCGCCTTTGTTCTTATACAACGGGACCATTGAAAGCCACTTATATCACATAGCAACAAGGGTATTAAGATATTCAGTTGCACTCTTTTTGGACTTCTAATTAGGTGCAGAAGCTGATTGTGGCATTAGGATCTGTTGAAATGGTAACAGTTTTGCTACATGACTTTGATTTATTAGCAACATCCGAAGCACGTTATGAATTCGAACTTCGTTGTAGATAACAGCCTTGTTTTAAGTGGAGAAGGCTAGAGGGGTGTGTCATCACCCACCGAGTTTTAAACTGTATGCTAACTTGGCCTCAAAGATTTCTCGGTTATAGTTAAAATGGTAATAGTTTCATTTAGTGAGTTCATTGATGAGAATGGGATCTAAAGCTTCAAGAAGAAATTTTGTTGGGGTCTTTTTAGTACCTTCCGAGTCTTTCTCTCCGTAGTCTGACATGTTTGTTTGGCAAAGTATTTACTTGGTCAACATATAATTGGGTGTCGTTTTCCTGGGGTCGGTTATATGCAACAACAATTATTTCTCAATCTCAAACAAGTTGGGGTCTGTTATATGAATTTTCACTGACCATGTTTCTCAATTTAAATTCATCTCAGGCTAACATTCTACTTACGAAATAACAAATGAATGGATAAATGAAGTCAATGCGTTGTGAATTAAGCAACGACATCATAATATCCGAATATAGCTTTTTCAAACTCCAATGATGCAATGAACAACACAAACTCATAATTTTTATTTTGAATGATCCATATTCAGACCCCACTTGTGAAAAATCACTAGGTTTGTTGTTGTTATTGTAATGATCCATATTCAGTATGCTCCAGAAATTTGTTTCATAGTTGTGCAGTTGAAGCCCTGTTTAAAATGACTGAATGGAGATGATTTTTGTTCAACTTTCTCCTGTGATGATTGCTTCCCCTGCATGAGCATAAGTTGCTTCAGTTTAATTTTTATACACCTAGTGTAAAAGTTCACTTAAAAGACGACTACAGGTAACCGTCCATAATAAGTGAAATTAGTTCTTGGAAAATAAGATATATTACTTGCTGCAATATGCTAAAATACACTAAAAGGCAGTTCGGTGCACAGCGCATCCTGTGTTCACGCAGGGTCCGTGGAAGGGCCTCAACCCAAGGGGTGTGATGTAACCGGCCTACCAGGATTCAAGCATCAGTTGCTGATTACACGGCTCGAACCCGTGACCTATAGGTCACGCGGAGACAACTTGATTGTTGCTCCAAGGCTCCCCTTCCATGTTAAAATACACTAAAAGAGCAGTACGGTACACTAAGCTCCCACTATGCGCAGGGTCCGGGGAAGAGCCGGACCACAAGGATCTATTGTATATAGCCTTACCCTGCATTTCTGCAAGAGGCTGTTTCCACGGCTCGAACCCGTTACCTCCTAGTCACATGCCAACAACTTTACCAGTTACGCCAAGGTTACCCTTCCATGTTATAATACATTGATAGCATAAAAATTCTTTATACTATCCGTCTATATAAGCTAATTCCACATTGCTTATTTAGATCAAGGCGAACTAGAATAGGCTGATTGATCTAGTAGAAGGATGTATTAGCAAACATACTTAAACATCAGACAGCATTACATATAAAGACAGAAGTATACACAGTAAAAGAATATGAGAAATGTGGAAGTGAAACAAGCTGTTAAGCTAGAATCTGTTCAAATTTAAGGAAAAAGAGATCATACTGACCAGTACTGGTTATGTAACACGAACGAGTCGATTTTAACTTTCTTTCCATCGTCATTTCTGTTCCAATGGTATAATGCATGTGTTTTGTTCTTAATCTCTAGCGTAGAATGGCCATAACTTGCTTCGCGGAATGCAGAATAATCTGGTTGAGGATCTCTAAATCTGCACAGATAAACAAATGAATATATAGTTCCAGAGCAAGTTAAGAAGTTAAAAGATGTTGAAAACATAAGTAAATAATCAATCTACACAGTATAAACTTACCTTGAAGCAAGACCCTCTTGATTTCCTCCATCACCAACTGTTATATAAACTGGAGCTGCTTTATCTGGTACGGGATAAGGATCACCACTCGAGACGTTATAGTGTATATTTGATACCCGATACTGAAAAAAGAGAATACGTTAGCAAATCTCAACAGCATAGCTATCACAAGGCAACAACAACAAAAACAACAAAAACCCAGTGTAATCCCATATAGTGGGGTCAGTGTAATCCCATATAGTGGCGTCTGGGAGGGGGGAGGGGAAAATAGAGTGTACACAGATCTTACATTTATCTTGTGAAGGTATAGCTATCACAAGGCAGAAAAGTCGAATATCTTACCAACACAAGATAGATGTAAAGTGAAATAACTTACTGATCGTTCATAGGCGTGGACATGGCCGGCAAAGATTACATCAACTTTGTGCTCAACGAACCATCCTTCGAATACGGATCTCATACTTTCACCCTCCATAAAATGGGCTACATTAGTGTTGTAGATAGGAACATGCATAAGAACTATAAGCCAAGGAGTCTTCTCTCTGTCCACATTCTTTAATTCCTCTCTCAGCCACTTCCATTGTGGTGTATACTTCACTGCATGATAAGAGACACAAAGACTAAGTAGCTATATAATAAAAAGGGTAGTCTGGTGCACAAAGCATCCAACGTTCACGTAGGATCCCAGGAAGGGTTGTATTCTATGGGGTGTGATGTAGGCAGCCTACCCTGACGCAAGTATCTGTGGCTGATTCCACGGCTCGAACTCGTGATCTATAGGTCACACGGAGACAACTTCACCGTTGCTCCAAAGGTCCCCTTACTAAAGGGCAGCCCGGTGCACTAAGCTCCCGCTATGCGCGGGGTTCAGGGAAGGGCCGGACCACAAGGGTCTATCGTACGTAGCCTTACCCTACATTTCTGTAAGAAGCTGTTTCCACGGTTCAAACCGGTGACCTCCTGGTCGCATGACAACAACTTTACTAGTTACGCCAAGGCTGCCCTTACTAAGAGAAATATATACGTGAAATGATGCTTACTACCACGGCCAAAAAGAACAAGAAACATTTTTCCATCTCTATACAACAACAATAAACCCAGTATAATCCCACAAGTGGGGTCTGAGAAGGATAGTGTGTGCGCAGAGCTTACCCCTACCTTCAAGAAGGCAGAGAGGTTGTTTCCGGTAGACCCTCAGCGTAGGAAAATCAAGAATCAAGACAATGAACCGTTGTTGCTTCACGTTTAAGAAAATCAAGAATTAAGACAATGAAACAGGAAATACCGAAAGGAGAATAGGTTGATAGCACAATTATGTGAGCAGATGCCCTCCTAATAGCATACCAAAGTGGGCTACTGCTTTTTGAAGCTTGATAAGGTGTAGGATATCTGTACAAATATGACTTGAATGGAGTTACTTCCCCCTGTGGTTAATGAAAAAAACCGTCAAATCTTAAAACATTATTGATATGAGGCACAAGCACTTGAGATGTTTGAATCAGACATGAATAAGGAAGAATTGGTCTTTAAGTAAAATATAGCAGGAAACAACATTATGTTAAACATCTGAACTTGAGCTGTGTTGCAGAACTTTACCATATACGGCATATATTCTATCTCATGATTCCCGGCTGACCAAATCCAAGGTTGATATGCTGCACTTTGTTCAACAAAGCGGCCCCATGTATCCCAACGGACACCAACATCATGATACTTATATCTGTCCGCGTAAGAGAGATCTCCTACAAATAGTACGCTCTTCGCTCCACTATCCATGTAATGCTGAAGCGTCGAAAGAGAGTTATATGTTTGTCCTAGATCGCCTGAGGAAAGAACAATGCATTGAACACTGAAGAGTTGCTTCATTGGATTGTTGAATTCTTATTGTCATAACTATTAGTAATCTTTCAGACTGTCATGTTGAATAAATACAACAACAACAATAACAACAAATCCAATGAGTTCTCACAAGTGGGGTCTGGGAGGTCAGTGCGTACGCAGACCTTACCCCTACCCTGGAGGACAGTGACTAAAGACAATATAAACATCATAATGCGGTAAAGCACTACACTCTTTTAGAAAGCGGATAAAGGTAACGAAATATAAACTACTTACCTATGATTCCAAATTTGTATGAAGCATCTGGATCAACCTTTGGAGGAGTTTCAAACCAGAACTTTCGAGCAGAGTCACCATCTCCAATTTCATAGTAATACTTTGTGTCATACTGAAACGAAGGTAAAACTAATCTGTCAATCCAGATAGAAAATGGAGGATAGCATTTAAGACATCATGGAACATCAGTGTCATGAAACTGTTTATGCTATTATCAATATCCAATACATTAGTCAACCTATTGTTCTTAATCCGTGTGCCAAGTCAACTTAATCTCATAAAATTGAAGAGGAAAAACATTAAGGAACTAAGAAAAGTGATCAAACTACCAACTTTACAGCAATGAAATACTTCCAAGCAGCAGATTTAGTAGTACTTGTGTGTTTGTTTAAGGTATATGAGAAAAAAACTCAACTATATGCTTTTGCTAATATAGTTGTGTGATGTATAAAAAAGGGCAGGCCAGTGCACAAGCATCCCGCATTCACACAGGATCCGGGGAAGGGCTGCACTGCAAGGGTGTGATGTAGACAGCCTACCCTACTGCAAACACTAGTGGCTGCTTCCACGGCTCATACCCATGACCAATAGGTCACACGGAGACAGTTGTGTGATGTATATGACCCTTAAATGAAGAGATGACATCGTGATTCTTTTGTCTTAAAAAACTATTAAACCGAGAATTCTAATTACCTGAAGGCCATCAAGAAAGCACTGATGTATATAGCCAGATGTGTAGTTGTAAAATGTGTAGTTTGTTACTGAACCCTCAGCTGTAAATTCATATTTTCCTTCAGATAATCCGTAACGTACTTGACTAGGCCCCGGTTTATCAGGCGTAATCCATGAAACTAGGACAGCCTTCCCTTCATAATCACCCTGTGTTATATGCACCTATAGTAGAATGAAGATATTAGCATTTTAGAACTTTAGCATGAAAAAACCTGCAGTTTATATACAGTAGTCAAAAAGCGAACATGGAATTCTAGCGTCTTATTATCTTTGAACATATCCTAGACCCCACATGTAAGATTTTAGTGGGTTTGTTGTTGTTCTTATCTTTGGAACATATGAGCAGAAGCTGAACAGTGCACTCGAAGATTATGAGCGTAGTTGATATTACAAAGTACTTTCTCATCATGTAATTTCTCATTCTTTTTTATAGTGATTATAGGCAACTTTGCAATTTGAAGATCAAAGACTATCTATTCAATTAAGCATGGTTTGAAAGCAGTCAATTATGTAATACTAATTGACTTTGAAATTTTTCTACCTAAAAGTTATATGTTGCTCGTATCCTTCAAAAATGTCGCCAGGTGTGTATCGGATCTTTCAAAAGTCCGGCAGCATTTTGGAGGATCCGAGCAACACAGCCTAGATGTCTTTCTTAATACTTCAAGGGGTTCAAATTTCAATGCAATTTCTATACCATTACTAATTCTGTTTCATTGTAAACAACAACAACAACAACAATCAAGTGGAATCCCACAAGTGGGATCTGGGGAGGGTAGTGTGTCCGCAGACCTTAACCCTACCCTGGGATGGTAGAGAGACCGTTTCCAATAGACCCTCGGCTCAAAGAAAAGGAAAGGAAATCATGCTACTCGAATTGAATTATCTCGAGTTCTTGAACAGGTTACAACACAAGATTACACTCATTCACAAACATTTCTTATGAAAAATCAACTGAAAAAATTAGTTAAAGTAACTTACTTGTTGTGGAGCATTATAACCCTTAGGAACAGCAAAGACTTCATTGTCAAGAGGAATATCCACAGATGGCCATTCATTACGAATAAATGAACTCGTTATACCAGCATTCCCGTTGTCTATCAATAAAAAGACGGACAACGAAAAGAAGAGATGAAGCAACATTGACTCCTCAATCTCAAGTAACAAGAATTCAACAACACCAATTAAATGATTCACTGCATCAAGAAAGAACATATATTGTAGTAATTAGAAACAGAAGTTTGGATAAAGAAATGATAGCTCCATATCTCAAAGAATGCATTTTGTTTCCATTTTAGAATAAAACTACAGATTTCATGGACACATTACTAAAAGAGTTTAACTTATACAATAACTGTGTAAAACTTTCCACACTATCAGGATACTTAAAGTATATTTACAGGCAGGGGCGGACCTATGCTATACCGAGAGGGATCACCGACACACGTAAAGTTCAACAAAAGTTCTATGTATACATGTATATGTTCTTAGAAAATAGTAGTAATATATTAGTAGTGGGCACCCTATATACAAAGTAGACTTCGGTTGAATCTAAAAGTGCACTCGCAACCTTCAATCCTGGGTTCGCTTCTGTTAAATTACCGATAATTGTCCATGAAAAGTGGGATTTTTGTATGCTTGAAAATAAGACAAGTTACCTACTTCAAGAGGTAAAAGTGATCTAAGAGTGTAAAAATACTTTACACCGTCGGTGAATATAAGTCAAACTCAAACTGAAAACATGCATCATACCACATAAATGAGTGTAGAGTTTAAGTTTATGCACTGACAATATCAAACATACTAACATAATTACAAGTAAATTTTTATGATAAACATTAATCGATAACATGATAAAAATGATAGTTAATCTACTAGCATATACTCTATTAAACTATAGTGTAGCGTAAAAAATCTTTAGCAATGAATGTTTATAATTTAAATCCTTATTGGTTGTGCATTAGAAGAACAATAAAGTGATAATAGGATAAATACCTGGAAATTAGGCTGAAACCACTAGAGACTGAAATATTATTGGCGAGTTGTTGTTGCTGTGTGGAGTTGTTGGTATTAGCATTCAGTGTATTGCTTGTTTGATGACTAAAGTGTTGAGTATAAGTAATAAATGATGAGTAGGAGACGTAAAAATAGCAACAGGAAATGGCGCAAGATTGGATCAAGATATGTTGTCTCAGTCAATATATATTTAATTATGGTACTGTAGTCAGAGGCGGATCCAGATTTGAGGCTTATGAGTTCCTAATAACTGAGTTCACAGTCAGATATTTATCAACATTTGGTGAATTTCTTAATATAAATACAGGGTCTACGCAAGAGTTACTGGGTTTCCGGAAACCCGCAGTCTATGCACTAAGTCCGCCCCTGACTGTAGTTATGGGTTTGTTTTGTTATTATGATAAATAGAGTGATGAGGATGTCAGAACACTCTTCCATGTGGCTTGGGAAGTTTTTTTTTTCTTTGTTAATTTTGTATTTTAATTCTCTATTATATTAAAATCATTTCGCGTATGTTAAGAGATTCAATACTTTATATATACATAATAAAAATTCGTTGTATTACAATTTTCTGATGAATGGAATTTGGTTAAAGCTCTTGCGTCCATTTAGCTTCACCCCTAATCGTAGTGTCCGTATCAGCTTGCGATAGAATAAATTATTTGAAATTTTTTATCTCTTTAATTTGAACCTTGCTATCCTTGGATGTAAAGCACGTTTGGTGGGAAGTTTCCTAACGTGGTTACTTCATGGAGTACACTAGCAACCGATTATTTTCTTCTTTTAAGAAACTATTTGTAATACTTTCTCCGTCTCATTTTATATGATACTGTTTGATGTGGTATGAAATTTAAAAAAGAAATTAAAATTTTAACATTTATGATCTAAAATAAACCTTAAATAATTGTGTGGATATAAAATCTCATTAAACGTAAAATGAAAAACTTAAAGTTAAATTGATTCTAAAAAATTTTAAAATTGTCATTTTTTTTCGGGACGAACTAAAAAATAAAATATGCCTAACATAAAATGAGAGAGGAAGTGTTATTTTTCATCTGTTATGAAGCTAAGTGGAGTAGCATGTTAAATCAATGTCTTCATTAAATATCATTATATAATGAAATGAACAAACATTTTTTAAAATTATCTTTTTGGTCATATACTTAGAAGAGTAGAAGAGTCTAGCGAACACTATTCCTAAAATGCAATTGTTAGGCGTATAGAATATTCAATAGCCAAAATAAAAGGATAATTGGTCCAATTTTCTCATTTAATTGGTATTGAACATAAAGACATTAAATTCTTTATAACCGAAAAAATTCTCAAGAACAAGTAACGCACGGTTCGAACCTCCATGGATAATGGACTCGCCCCTCTACCCTTCTCCACTTAAATACCAAATTTTTCCTGTGGTAGGATTTGAACACGTGACATGCAGCTAACCACACATCATGTGTTGTACTCTTACCACAAAGTCAAGCATTTGCGGTCACCGCCCTTACCAGAGTGTAGCTTCGCCCCTGAGCAGACGTACTAGTAACTGTGACTTTAACTCCAAAAGTCTTAGCAAATTTTACAGCCATATGACCAAGACCACCCAATCTCATGCCTATGTCAAATAATTCGAGGAAAGATTTAAGTTTTATGCACAGACAATACTAAAAATATTCTCATGCAACTCAGATAAAATTGGCTTCCTTGTTCAATATAACCGTTACAAATAGCCATCCAAAAATAATTTTAAAAAGAAAAAAGAAGAAGAAGCACGACATGGCCTATAAGCTGTTCGACTTACCTTCCGACTTGCCTCTTGGAACTCTCACCTAAGTTTAAATAGTAGAAATGACACCAGGTAGCTACTCTAAAGGGTTGCTATTTAAGAGTTAGTCATTGCATCCTGAATTTCAGTTTTTCAGTTCAAATTTTCGGGACAAAAAATGTCCTGAGTTGTCCTGAAGTTAAGATTTTTAGTTTAGAATTTCAGGACAAAATAAGTACTGGCTAATCTCTAAACAGCATCCATGAGAATGGTTATTTGTGCACTTTCCCCGTTTAAATGTCAATAGGATCCCAGATCAATACATCCATGTGAGTCTTCATGGCCATTTTTGCTGCTCTCTTTGCAGCTGATACTGCATAACTTGCAACTTTGACAACTTTCCAGGATATTTCATTTGCTTCCATGAATTCCAGACATTCATGCAACATACAGACAATGTCTTGATCTGAACAGCAATCTGAATTATGGAGTTCCTTAATCAAGATCTGGTTATCAGAAAAAATTACGATTGGAGAATCTATGACGAGGGACCATTTCACTGCATGCTCAAAGGCATGTACTTCTGCATGTAGTTTGCTCCTGACCTTCAACGATCTTCTAGCCTCAGCCACTTTAACCCCAGAGTTCCACCGATAAGCTACCCATGCCATTCCAGCCCATTCTTGTCCCTCTTTCCAAGCTCCCTTAACCTCCATTACTAGTACGTTGTCGTCCAGCTGTACATCAGAATCAACGTTGAAAGCATTGACATCGACAATTGTTCCTCTATGCACCTCATAGAGCTCTCTTATTGCTATGCCAACAGAATACGGAAACCTTGAGTGCTCTTTAATGGCAGTGGAAATGACTTCTGAGGGAACAAAAACAGCTCTTTCATGCACTAACTTGTTTCTGTGCTTCCAGATCGCCCATAGGACAGCTAACGAAAAACTGAAATCTTCATTTTCAGGAGCTGACAAAGTCCACTTAAGTAACCACTCTTGAAATTCAACTGGGGTCCCAACTTTAAAGTTTAGGCCCAATCTTGATCCTTCCCAGACTAGCTGAGAGTATTTACAGTTCAAGAATACGTGGGTCAAGTCTTCAGCAAAGGATAAGCATCTCGGGCAAGTCGATAGAACTGGCAATTCATAGAAAATAAGTGTTGCATAAAAATATCTTATTTCCCCTGGGACTGACAATTCTTTCAACCTCCCAGTACACAACTCGAGATCCTCTTCATGCAAATGCTCAAGCTCAAATCTGTTAGACTGCCAAGCCCATTCCAACCTCATCACCTCAATATCATCAGCATATACCAGACGAACTCCCCAATTTGATGACATACGACAATCTAGAGATGCCTCAAATCTACAATAGTCATTTGGATTATCTATCAACATTGTGCCCTTACCTTTACCATTAAAATGTAACTTTCTTAGGTCCAATTGTAAGAAAATAAAGCAGTCATGACTGCCATATGCTACTACATTTGACACTTGCAAATGAACTATTTTTGCAGGAGTTTGTTGATCCATAGCAGTACGTCCTGGCACCAATTTTGTAGTGATTGTTGCACCCCATAGCAAACTGAATGCAAACTGCCTATTACGGTTTTTCGGTGATTCGTCATTTAAGAAAGGAAGCTGACAATAGATAGCAAATCCCATAAACTTATTATTATACCAGTGTCTCTTCAGGTTGAAGGAAATCCTCGTTGAACATGTCTTACGATACTTGAACCACCTAGGAACCTTAGCACTTGGATCACTTCTAGGGAAGACAATACCAAATCTCCCCCCTCTGCGCTGGTCGTCAAAAACCAACTACAACAATATTAATGTTACACGATTAGTTCATTTTTAAAACATCTACAGATACAAGATTACATCCTTTTATAACCGTGGTGTCCGGGCAAGCTTGCATGCACAGCCTCACCTCAACTAATTCCCGAGGGTACCTGCTATCTCCAACCAGTACAGGTACCCGGTAATTCTGTCAACCAAGGCTTGGACAGATGGGAAGAAATCACCTACGCCCTCCGTTCCAATTTATGTGAATCTTTTTGATCGGGCACGGAGTTTAAGAAAAAATGAAGACTTTTGGAATTTGTGGTCCTAAACAAGTTAAAAGGGGACCCAGAATATTTGTGTGGTTATAGAAGCTTCTCATTAAGGGTATAATTGTAAATTTAAGCTAAATTGTTTCCAAAGTTAGAAAGGGGTCATTCTTTTTGGAACGGACCAGAAAGGAAATAGGTTCACATAAACTGGAACGGAGGGAGTAGTATTTTAGCCTCCACTGAGATTTAAACTTGAGATCTCAGGGTTCTCAACCCATTTAATTGACCACAGGCCACACCCTAAAACGAACAAAATCGCATCCTTGCATGCTTAAAATCTCAGAAAGTTTATACGGAAAGACAGAAGGAGAAGCATACCTTAAGCTGCACTATTGACAAAAATGGAAGGAGAATCTGTTCTAGCATATCCGTCATGTTCTTCCTTATACAGTTTCTCATCTTTGCACCAGAACTTTCCCTGCGTGAAGCACACCACATCTCTTGCAACTTCTGATTAGCGAATGAGACCAAGTACAACTCTTTGTACATGGTTGGTAGTGTTGGAATGCTTTCCAAAGCAAAGCGATCGTCTAGAAACAGTTTCATTATACGTGGAGGAAGCTCTGGCAGCTCTGTTAGCTTTTCACAATAGGTTATGTCAAGGTGTCGAAGGCGGTTAAGTAGCACAATGCTTTTAGGTAAAAAGGTGAAGTTATTTCTGCTCAGGTTTAACTCTAGTAGTGAGGCCAAGCATCCAAGATCCTCAGGAATACTGCCATCAAACAAATTGCAAGCACTGAGATCCAGTCTTATAAGTGTGCAAAAGACTGATAAAGTGCTGGGCAGCTGAAACTTCAAATCAAGTTGGGCAAAACATCCCCAACTGCATAAATCGCTCAAATGAAAAGCCTTGGGTACTTTCCGAAAAGATAGGTACTTCAGTTTCCTCAAGCATGTGATGGAATTTGGGGTGCACCAAACTGATGTTTCACTCGCATCAAGCCCCTCCAAGTTCACTAGTTCACAAATATCTTCTGGCAAGTTCTTTAGTTTGGTACAGCGATTGAGGTAAAGATACTTCAAATTTTTCAACCTGCACATGCTGCTAGGGAGCGTTTCAATGTTACTGCAGCCACTCAAATCTAGATAGCTCAGGAATGATGATGTTAATTCAAGTACCCCAAAGTTTGGCTTCTTGAATTCTGTTAAACGATTCACATTTTGCTGAATGTCTGGAACTTTTCTCAAACTCCGACAACCAGAAAAATTTAGAACTTCAAGAGACCCGGATTGAAACTTAGAGGGAAGCCTTTCAAGTTTTTCACAACCTTCCACATCTAAAATAGTAAGCTTTTTGAGGGCTCCAACAGATGGGTGGACCTCTACCAGCCGAACACAGTGACATAGGATTAGCCTCTCCAAATTTGGAGACCCGGAAAGGTCTGAAATTTGGATTAATTTTCGAGAATCACTCAAATCAAGAATACTCAACCTGTTTAAATGCTGTTTTGAACAATTAAATGAAATCAATGAATACAAGTATACATTAAATTCATGTCTTTTGTATGTGCAACTACAGTTTTTGTAACTTAGATCATAGAAGAAAATAAGTCTTAAACTATATATTCGCAGAGGACTCAAAAACTCAAAATCATACCTTTGACCCCTTCCAGAGGTTAACCACGTAACTGCAATGCATAATAAGCCCCACCAGCTTTGGTGGTTCAAAATTTTCTGGCAATGATGGTGAAGGATAATATGACCAATTAATCCAGCATAAGCTGTTAGGAAGAAACTTAATGGGGTCATGAGAGCAAAAATACATGACGTTCTTGTGAGATGATGATACAAATATTCTTAGTCGCTTCATATGTCTGAAGACTTCATTGCTCAGGTGAATGGTATTCTCCTCTGAGCTGGACATCAACGGGATTAATATGACTTCTATTGCTTCTCCGCCCTGAGAGGATTCAAAAATTGCATTAACAGAGCGCAAAGGACAAGTCATGCTTTTATACTTG